GCACACATTTTAGCTGGTAATGGATGTCAAATAGCAAACCCAGTAGAATATCCACACTTGATACCTGTGTAAAGGAGAAATTTACCAGGCCTGTCCTCAGGTAGGGTCCACCTGTGCCTGTCAGAGCCTGATTCTTAGTAGGCACAAAATAGATGTTTATTAGTAAAACCTTTTTGATTTTCTATGTCATGTGGACTGTATTTTAAAATAGATTATTAAAACTTCCCAGATGACCCATATTTTCATTAAATTGGAATTTTGGCGCATTGCACAAATAGAAGACAGTTTAATCCAGAATGCTTAGGCATTTTGATTAGTTATATATGGCAGTTTTGAAAAAGTTTAGGTAATAACATAACATTTTTGGGTGGAGAAGAAAACAGACCACAACACTTCTGTAGGAAGCGACAGTCTGTTTTCTTGTCCTATTTATGTCATTTTTTATCTGTCTTCTAATGCTGCTCATGGCGTGTGTATGCACAAATAGCACCTTAGGATTTCAGCCACCTCTCTAAGCACCCAGTGACCCCAAATATCCACTGAGGAAATGAGCCACGCCTACACAGTGTGGCTTCCTCTGTAAAGGCAGGACTCCAGGCACATGTTTATACAACAGCCAGGACCAGAGTAGTGCTCAGCAGAGCCCTGTGGCACGGGAGGCCCACTCACCTTGGCTTAGGGGCAGAGGTAAGAGAGCAAATTGTTCCTGAAGCAGACACCCACCACATGCTTCCTGATGGTTTGTTTCACTGTTTCACAGTGGGATCTATACAATTGTCATGTCTTATTAGTTTGCAGTTTTTAAGTGTGGCACTCGGACTTTCTATAGAGTCTAAGAGCCTGTAGCCAGAAGGTGCTGAAGGATTTTAAATTGTTCTTCTACAACATTAGTCAGGGTACTGCTAGGCAGTCACACACGGAAGTCCCCAAGGAAGGGACTGCAGCTTCTGGAGCTGGAAGACAGGCTGCCCTAAGCGGGGGAGGTAAGGAGGCCAGTGGCCGTGGCTTCCAAAATGACTAATCCTTATAGAACCTGACCCAGGATGTGTGCTGCTCAGAATTCAAAGCCTAAAATGTTCAAAATGTGATTTTGATGACAACAAGAAATGGTGACCTCCTGCCGTAGCCAGTGCTGAGACAGACCGACTATGCTGCGTAGGTCTCAGCGGCAAATAATTTCCCTCCCATGATTGCAAACGCTTTCTGCTTTTCAGCCCATAACTAAGCTTTGCTATAAGCGGCTGCTTGGCAGGTTATGAGGGTAGGAGTGGACTCGGGATTTGAGGAGCTACCCATGCCTTTTAAGGCAAAAAAGTAATTGCAAAATAAGAGGAGTAATATGAACCGTGTACATTTTTACCAGGGGCTCCAGCAGAACAGCCCCTTCTGTCTGTGTGGCTGGAACCTCTCCTTCAGCCCAGCCCCCACGTGGCCTCTGCTCCAGGCCTTTAGCCTGTCTGTCACACAGAAGGATGACCTGGGAGCCTCCTGTTCTCGTCATGTTCCCTCTGCCATGCCATCACCTGAGAAGGGAACCATGTACTGAAATCATCTGAGACCGCAGATGTGCCTTAATGACACATGAATACATAAAAAAAAATTGACCTTACTAGTAATCACAGAAATACAAACTAAAATGAGAAGTTGCAGAAAAAAATAATTGTGGTAACTGGGGATGAGAAGTTTCAGCAAGACCAGCTCTCCCCTACGCCAGAAGGGATGGTAAACTGAAATGGTTTGTCTTTCATTTTGCTTTTTTTTTTGAGTTGGAGTCTCACTCTGTTGTCCAGACTAGAGTGCAGTGGCCTCCCGGCCACCGCAGCCTCGACCTGCTGGGCTCTGGTGATCCTTCCGCCTCAGCCTTCTGAGTAGCCGGAATTATAGGCATGTGCTACCACGCCTGGCTGATTTTTTGATTTATTGTAGAGATGAGGTCTCGCCTGCCCAGGCAGGTCTCGAACCCATGGGCTCAGGCAGTCCACTCACCTCAGCCTCCCAAAGTGCTGGGAGTACAGGCTGAGCCACTGAGCCCGGCTTTTGCTTTGTTTTGAGTTGAGGTTTCAACTCTGTCACCCAGGCTGGAGTGCAGTGGCACTATCTCAGCTCATCGCAGCTCTACCTCCTGGGCTCAGGCAATCCTTCCACCTCAACTTCCCAAGTAGCTAAGATTACAGATGCGTGCCACCACACTCAGCTATTTTTGTTTGTTTGTTTGTTTGTTTGTAGAGATGAGCTCTTGCTATGTTTTCCAGGCTGGTCTCAAACTCCTGGGCTCAAGCAATTCTCCCATCTCCGCTTCCCAGAGTGCTAGGATTATAGGTGTCAGCCACTGTGCCTGGCCTGGAATGGAGTGTCTAATATCATTTTGACGATATATATGACATGATACCTGACAATCCACTCACTTGTTTGTCTTCTAAGGATTTGTTCTAAATAACCTAATACCTGTGTTAAGTGTCTGTGGTGAACAATAGAGTGTCTCAGAGTGTTTTAGAATGGGATCTACATAAATCCCATGTTGCTACCAGGGTGAAGTAAATCACGTGGTTAAAATAGAATACCATCCCTCTATTAAAACTATGCAGGGATTTTTCATTACACTGGAAGAAGTGAAATGCAGGGCTAATGGAATGGGCTTCATGTTCACACTTCTTGAATTAGAATTCTTTCCCAACTACTTGTAACTGGGTAACTTGGAAAAGTTGTTGAACTCGTCTATGCCCCAATTTCCATATCTGCAAAAGGGGGATATAATGGTTGTAAAGCTTAATGAAATAATTCATCTGACATTCTTAGCACAATTCATGACAGCATAAGTGCCTGATAAATGTTAGCGTGAAGCAAGTTGCTTAACTTCTGTACCTCAGTTTCCTCCCCTGTAAAGTGAGAATGACAGTAGTTCCTACCTCAGAGGAATGCTAGTGAAGCTTAAATGAGTTAATGTACAAAAAAGCACTTAGCATGGATCTAGCACGCAGTAACCACCACAGAGGTGTCAGCCATTGTTTGTGCTACCAGTGGTGAGAGATGACCACACAAAACCAAATCCCTGGCAGAATACCAAGGCTACCTGAAAACCCACACTCGGATACATCCTAGACTAGAAGATGTATGTCTAAGTAACTGAGTAGAAAGATTACAAGCTATTTTTTTGTACTTTCCTGTATTCTTCCAACATTCGCTTTCAGCAATGAATACATATCCCTTTAATCATTGAAAAAGCAAATGGCTACAGTGAGTTTCCTACTTATAAATGAGTTTCATTCCAGGAGTATGTTTATAAGTCCAGTTTGTTTGTAAGTTCAACACAATTAGCTTAGGTATCCAACTAACATAATCGGTTAGATAGTACTGTGCTATAATAGGTTGATAATACTTTTTCACACAAATAATACATAAAAAATAAATGTACAGTACTATGCATAAAGTACACAAAAGTACAACCATTTGTAGAGGCTGCACACACATGACAGTGTATACCAGACACATGAACTGACTTATGTGATTGGACATGTAAATGTGTGTTTGCATCTCTGAAAGTCTGCAACTTGAAGGTTTGTATGTAGAGGACTCTCTGTATTTTAAACTTGAAGGAAGCATTCATCTGCTTAGCCCATGGTTAATCAAGATAGTTGAGTCCCCCGAGCTTCCTTCTAGTTAATGTTTTTTCTCTATTTTAGGCCTAGTCTCTGGTCATTTGCAAGTAGCAGCCTAGCATTTCCACACAATGCGACTGTGTTACTCAGATACTTTCTTTACTTGAATTAGAGATGTGACTCTAAATTCTGAATGCATGCTGGAGTCATCTGGAGATTGTGAGATATACTGGCGTTGAGCTCCTCACCAGATTGATTAAATCAAATATTTGGGGGTGGGCCTGAGCATCGGTTCACAAGGAAGTTCTACTATGCAGCCAGGTGGTGGACAGCAGCCTGCATTCGAGACTTCCACTTCCTGCCTAGCAGAAACTTTCACCTGTGAGCAGAGTCCCCTTTTCTTCCTCCAGTCAATCTCAGTGTCAACCCTAGTAATGTATCCCAAGTCACCCAAGGATAAGGGTTTCCTGAAGTGCTCATTAAAAATACAAATGCCCGGGCCCTAACCCATATCTGCCTGTGAATCTGAACCTTCATGGGAAGTGTGTATATTTAACAAGCCCGCTGGGCAATTTCTTCCCATCAGAGAGGTGTGGAAACTCTGCTAGAGTGTACTTCTTAGTCGTGACTGCCCACTGGGAGTCTATTAGAACACTTGAGGAAATTCTAATGTCTGGTCACCCCTTCCCTCATCAACCCTTTCCATGATTCTAACCTAATGTGTCTAGAATATTGGCCAGACCACAGGATTTTAGAAAGTCCTTCTGGATCTAATACATTGTCATAGCTGATATCCTGCAGAAATGATGGAGACCGGAGTAAGGTCCCAGGACCGGCAACATCCGCATCACCTGGGAACTTGCTAGAAATGCAGACTATGGAGCCCTGTCTAGACTTGCCAGGTAGAAACTGGGGACCTAGCAATTCATTTCTCAACAGCACTCTCAGTGATTTAGATCTTGCTAAAGTTTAAGACCCACTGCTGTAGAGCAATGTTGTTAAAAACAGCTTCCAGACTCCCAGAGATTGCTCAGTAGGTCAAACTGAGCCAGGAATGTGCTCTAAGTGGTCCAAGACCACACCTTAGAAACACTGCTGTGGGCTTACCCTTGTTTCCTTGGCCATTTTAAAGTTATAAGGCCCTTGGCATCTCTGGAGTACAACCAGTGTCCCTGTGTTCTTGAGTGCAGCCTTCTGACCCTCCTCGACCTTCCATGACAAAACATGTGGCTATCTTCCAGCCATAATCAGTGGGACATGTTTTCCTTAAAGTTGGCAAGTACTGTGTTTGGAAACTGGGTTTTTCAAAGGTGCTGACCTAAGATTGACTTCGAACACCAGTCATAGAAACAGAGCTGTGCATGTCTGTTCTCTTCATGACATCTGTGCCTCTTTGTTTTATAGGTTTTACCACCAATCTACCCTAGCATGGGCCTCACAGCCCCAGAATAGAAACGACCAAGCCTGTTGGTGGAGAGGACAGAAAGTCGGCAGCTGGTTGGGTCCGAAGGACCGGGAAGATCTGGAGGTCAGAGGAATGGCCCAAGCCCACGGCCTGCCCGTCCACACGAGGGAGGGTCCATGGCAAGTCGCAGGAAGGACAGAGAATGTGATGAAGAAGGCAGTGTGGGAGGAAGAGCTGAGAATGTCAGGTTCTGCCAAGTGGCAGAATGTCAGTCTCGAAAGCTGGAACCAGGCAAGGAGATTAGGGAGGCAGATGTCTGATGGTGACGGGGAGAGGTTGTTTCAAGATTTGTACCCATTCATTGAAGGAGAGCATGTATTGAATTCCCAAAACAAAAGGAAATCCCAGTCATTGCCTAGAGTTATTTCCCCTGAGAACCTGAGTTGCACAGAAATTCCCATCCCATTGCATGATGGCCATTCAGCCAAGATGTCTCCGTATTCTCCATACTCCACGCCAAATGTGGAATCTACAAGGAACCTCGAGAAGGGCCCTTTGCCCCGGCCTAAGTTTGGGAGACCCCTCAAGCCCCCTTCTTATGGCTCACACCAGCAATCCAGGGGAGGTGGAGAAAGCAGTGACTCTCAGGACAGTCAGCACACAGACCCGCACGTCCCCAGACACGAGTTCTGCCTGCCTGAGTCTGGGCTGGAGCCCCCCATGTACGTGCCTCCACCATCATACAGGTCGCCCCCCCTGCACATTCCAAACCCCTACTTGGAAGACACAGCGCCTAGCCCTGCATGTGGAAGCCACAGTCAGCAGCAACTTCCAACCGAGAAGGCCAGTGGCCAGCTTCCTTCAGGTCCCCTGGGAACCGGGCACACATATGGTGCGAGTCCCCGCTCTGCCCGAGGGCTACCCACACACCTGCAGCCTACCACTGCTTTCGGTGGCTCCATTCAGTATATTCCTTTTGATGACCCACGGATTCGACATATTAAACTAGCTGCACCCCAAGGTTTCGGTGAAGATGCAAAGCCTGATGATCAGTCCTATGACTCCAGTCCTGTCACTGCCCCAGAGCCAGCTGATGGAAAATTGCAGCCCACTGGTGCCATTTTGACTCCACAGAGCCTGATACCCCCATCAGGGAGTGGGAGAATCCAAGCCTCAGCTAATCCCAGCCCCCAGTGGCTGTGGGGACAGCTCCCCAGGGATGGAGAGAATGATGACTTTCCTGACCAAAGAGACCACTATGTCTCAAGAGGACAGTGGCCCAATATGAGAGGCGACCAGCAAGGCCACACAGACAGCCACGTTTCCTCCCCACACCCATGGGGCGAGAGTACCTGCGAAACTCAGACCAAGCTCAAAAAGTTTGAGACTGGGATTCAGACCAAAAAAAGTTCAAAGAAAAAAATGAATGAGACTATATTTTGTTTGGTTTCCATCCCAGTTAAATCAGAACCACATCTGCCAGATATAGATATGGACAACAATGACTCGAAACCGAGTACTGATAAAAGGAACGGGCTGGATGGGAGTGTGGCCTTGCGACCACAGCATCAGCTGAGCATGTCTGCCACTGACCTGGAACTGCAGGCTCTCACGGGAAGCATGGCCGGGAGGATGGAGCTCCAAAAACAAGACCTGGGGGAGCCAGAAGACAGACAAACACATGACCTCAGACTCAGTCACCTTACAACACATAGGGAACTCAAGTACTCTGGCTCCTGGCCAGGGCACCAGTACCGAGATCAACAGACACAAACCAGCTTTCCTGAAGAGTCCCAAAGCTCACAACTCCTTTCTGGTGCAACACTTGGAGGGCCAAAGGAGGCAGTGCTGGCCCCAAGATGTCCTGATGGGCAGACACATGCACCCATAGCTTCCAGGGACCACAGACAGAGGCCAGATGCTCAGAATCTGAAAGGTCAGAGGTCCCTCAGCCCGTCCAACAACAGTGCTTTTTCCAGGACTTCCTCGTCTATCAATCAGGCTTCTGTGCCCAAGGCAGGTCGAGGTCAGCCTTACGTGGATATCCCTGGGCATGGAGCCTCCCCAGGGCCCAAGCCTGAGGTGGTAAAAGGGGAACCCACAGGCCCGTGTAACAGTAAACAGCTCTTTGGGCAGTTTCTCCTGAAACCAGTGAGTCGTCGTCCCTGGGATTTGATCAGTCAGTTAGAAAGTTTCAACAAAGAGCTCCAAGAAGAGGAAGCAAGCAGCGGCAGTCACAGCAGCAACGAGGACAGTGAGTCGGAGCAGCAGTGGGAAGACCGAGTGGACTCCAGCACGGAGAACCTAGGCGTCTGTGGAAACAGCCCAGAAAGGAGGGGTGAGCGACAGCCGGGGACATGGGTGCAGGAGGATCCTGTGTTTAGGTCAGGAAGAGGGGAAGCCAGGCCCGAGAACTGGAGTGAGGAGCTGGCGCCTGGCCACCCATGTGCGCATGCTCCGTCCCCAGGCCCCTCGCCAGTGGAAAGCAGCAGTGCGGCATCTTTCTGGCCAGCAAGTGGAAGCTCGCATATAGATCAGAGACATCAGGGGGCTGGCAACAGAAGGAACCAACCAGCGGCCAGCCCGGGTCCTGTGAAAAGAGTAATGTCTTCAGGACCAAGTGACGCAAAGCCAATGCCTCCATCCTACCCAGCTGAGCCCAGGGAGCCCCCAGAAAGTCAGGAACCCTCCAGTGCTTCCAATTCTGTGAAAGCGAGCCAGGCGGTGCTCCCTGGGGTTGACAGCAGTCCAGAGAGGGGCGTGGTGCTCCCGCTGTCCCTGACTAGCAAGAATCGAGGGCTCTCGGCACCAGACTTGCGGTCTTTGGGGCTCACCACAGGACAGGAGCTGAGTGCCAGCAAGCCAGAGGGGTCTTCAGGTGAAGCAAGCACAATAGAAATTCCCCCAGGGGAGTCCCTGCAGGCGAGGGCTGCGCGAATCCTGGGCATCGAGGTAGCTGTGGAGTCCCTTCTGCCGGGCACCCGGAGAGCAGGACAGAGTCAGCATCCCGAGCCTGACATAAGTGCCTGCAGCCCTGAGTCACCCAGGGAAGCGTTGCCATCCACGGGAGCATCCTTGCCATCCACGGGAGCACCCACTGGTGGCCCCGCCACGTCCACTGATGCCTTTTACGGCAGGAGAAAGTGCGGCTGGACTGAAAGCCCTCTCTTTGTGGGAGACAGGGATGGTACCAGGCGGGCCCCTCAGGCTTCTGAGCGCTCAGGTGCGGATGGTGTTGTTGCCAGCGAAGCCTCCAGTCCTGAGCCTCAGTCTAACTCCTTGGAGTCCAAGTGCTTCGATCAGAAGGATGTGGGAGCAAAGCCACCCTTCAGGTCCACTTTGTTCCACTTTGTAGAAAGGACCCCAAGTGTGACAGGCTCAGAAAAGAGGCTCAGAAGCCCTTCCAAAGTGATTGAAAGTTTACAAGAGAAGCTGGCCTCCCCCCCGCGGAGGGCAGACCCTGACCGCCTGATGAGGATGAAAGAGGTGAGTTCCGTGTCTCGGATGAGGTTCCTGAGCTTCAGGGGTACTGACTCCCTGGAGGAGGCTGAGGATCTGAGGGTCGTGAGGGGCCAGGTCGGGCTGCCAGGAGGCTTCACATCTCTGAGCGGCGGGGACCAGGCCCAGAGAGTGGGCCACTCACTCTCCGTCTCCAGGGACAGCGTCTCACGGGAAGAAAACGAGCATCCGACTGCACAATGGGAGAAGAACGTGGACCAAGACTTCTGGTGCCCAGGTGAGGAGTCGGACAGGCAGGCAAGTGTTCAGATCGTAAAAAATCCCAGGTGGGTGGAAGGTGCAGAGCTGCATGTTCAGAAAAGATGGCGTTGCCCTGTGAATTGTGTTATCAAAAAACTCATTTTTAAAGAATTATCCAGAAACTGTCCTTAAAAATCAAGTTCTTGTGGTATACTTTGGATGATTATATTTTTGTAGAAATTATCTGTGTGGCCAGGTGTGGTGGCTCAAATCTGTAACCCCAATACTTTGGAAGGCCAAGGTGAGAGGATTGCCTGAGTCCAGGAGTCCAAGCCAGCCTGGGCAACTTGGAAAGCCCTCATCTCTATAATATATCAAAAAAATAAGCTAGATGTGGTACTGTGTGCCTGTAGTTCCAGCTATTTAGAAGGCTGAGGCAGAAGGATTGCCTAAGATCAGCAGGTTGAGGCTGCGGTGGCCATGAGCGTGCCCCAGCACTCCAGCCTGGGCGACAGAGTGAGACTCCAACTCAAAAAAAAAAAAAAAAAAGAAATTATCTATGTGAACAACTATGTAAAATTATCTACATAGACAACTTTCCAGCCTCTTCATGTGAAGAGGTAAATCTACCCTAGTGCTGGGGCAAGCACCTTGGTAAGTCCTGTTGGCAACCACAGCATTTGTATTTTGTCTTCTCCTAGAACAGTAGAATTCATCCATACTGCCCTCATTGGTCTTCATTTTCCTAATGAAGATGACATGCCAGGTTGCCACACGTCAACCCATCCATCTCGTTATGCTGGGTTTTACTTTGGCACCTTTCACAATTCTCTGCCCTCTCATTTTTTCTGTTTTCACCACCTCATTTCATGAAACCTGAAGAGTTTGCTCCCTCCCAACCCACCACTCCCAGAAGTCACCCACCAACTGTGTTTCTTAAGGGGTCCACTCCATGACTTGCCTTGCTGTGGTGTTGGAGCCTTCTCTGATCCATAAGACCTCAGGGCAGATTTTCATCAACAGTAACAGTGATTTTCTCCAAACAGGATTTCACCATCTCAGCTCTGACATACAGACCCAGATAATCTCAGGCATTTTCTTCAGAGACTGGGAACTGTCAATTATACATCCTTGAACTGATTAGAAGGAGAGTTGAGCCAGTTATCAAAAGGCCACATCATGAAGCACAGACTAGAAGGGACCTTCAGTCATTTAGTCCATACCTTTCCACAGGAAGGGAAACGTGTGCCCACGAGCTGTGTGTCTGGGAGCTGCCCCTCCTGGGTCTCCCTTTCCTCCGCCTACACTGCCTCCAGCAGGTGGTTCCGCTCCCCTACCCCTGTCTGTGTTCTGTTTTGAAATCCAAGAATTTAGAAGTAGGTGGAAAAGAGCAGTTGTTTCAACTGGAAGAATCCAGAAATTTTTATCAAACAAAATAAGCTACTTGGGCACTTGAACAATTTTCCCACAATTGCAGTGTGATTCTTAGGGGTGTTAACCAATGTTGCTCTGTTCTTTATGCAAAAAACATTATTGAAATAATTCATTTGTCAAGGCTCCGTTAGATCCTCATATTTGACAGGTCGGGTCCTAACTGAGGAAGAGAATACTGAGGATGTGGAACCTTTGCCATTATGTTGGAAAAAGTGTTACATGCCCACTTTCAAGCTGTTAGGATTTATTGTAGGCTCCAACAAGATTCTTCCTCACCAGTCTCCCCTAGACCCCACAAATATGCCCACTCAATTTTAAGGCTAGTTAAAACTTGGTATAGGCTTCTAAAGCAAGTTTTCTCATCTATAAAATCAGGATGATTTTATCAGCCCTACTTCTTCTTGAGAATTGTAAGAATTTTAAAATAAGTGTTTTTATTATAAAATCCCAGTTTGTAAATATTTCTGTCTCAGTTCATAGATACCTATTTCAGGAGAAAAAATATACATCTGTATATATATAAAACAGTATCCAGTTTGGTAAAGCACTTTCTCAAATGTTAGCTTGACCGTTTGGCATGTGAATGGGGTATAGGGCCTATTCATGATCTATTCAGAGCATGCAAATTTTAATTTTAGTCATCCCCTAAAGATACTTCCTTTATGACCTTTTTGTATTTTTTAACCATAGTTACCAACAAGTGGAAATTTTTATTATTCTTTTCTCTTCTCCATCCAATGCATTTGTTCATACATTTGGCAATAAACTGGCCAAAAGTCTGCAGGCAGAGAGCTATTCATGTTGACAGCTACCTCGGGCATTGTCAAGTACAGTCATGTGTTGCTTAATGATGGGGATATGCTCTGAGAAATACGTCGTTAGGTGATTTTGTCATTGTGCAGAAATCACAGTAACTCACACAACCCTAGATGTTGGAGCCTACTAACACACTTGGCTATATGGTAGAGCCCATGATGCCTAGGCCACAAACCTACCTATACAGCAGGTTACTGTGCCAAATACTGTAGACAGTTGTAACACAATGCTGTTTTTGTGTGTTTAAACATAGAAAATACACAGCACAAATATAGTATAAAAGATAAAAATGGTACACCTGTATAAAGCACTGACCATGAATGGAGCTTGGCCGGACTGGAAGTTGTGGGTGAGTGTGTATTGAGCAAATGTGAAGGCCTAGGACATTCCTGTGCACTTTGGTAGACTTTATTTAGGCTACACTGAGTTTATTTTAAAAATAAGGTGAATGCACTAGTAGATTATGATGGCTACAGTAACTAGGTGGTAGGGATTTTTTAGCTTTGTCATAATCTGGACCACTGTCATATGTGCAGCCAGTCTAACATTGACTGAAACATGATCACTGTGCAGTACATGACTGTGACTGGAGAACAGGGCATGCAAGGGACAATTCTCACATTTGCTGCTGCTCAGGTGTCCCTCCATGGGCTTTTCATGCATGGTCACCAGGCCTCAACATTCACAACCAGTCATTTTGAGAGGAATAAGGGTCTTATGACTAAGTAGCAAAACTTTGGACATGCGTCCATGTTTCCACTTACTGTTGTTTCACCAATTAAAATTAAGCCTTGTTGGGTGCTGCTGATAAGCTCTAGGGCTTTGTTTCCTTTTGTTTATTGTTTCAAGTACAAGTAGCCTCATCTCCGTCCTGACTCCACCCCGATTCCCATGACTCCAAGGTGCTGGAATCTCTTACTGCTTGCAAGTCACTTAATTCCAATTTGGTCCCAGAACCACAAAACAAGGTCATACCATGTTTTCCTGTAGAAGCGTCCTATTTGTATTATGTTGTACCTGTCGTTTCATGAAGTGCCTTTATTTTAGATTAAAGATGGTCATTTCAGCTGACATCATCTTAGTGGTCTTTTGTGGCTCTAAAAAACCAGCAGCTCAGAAGTAATGGAGGTCCCAGAATCCCATCTCCACTAATTGACCTGTGCTGGAACTCAGAAGTGTCATCACAGGCACTGAAAGTACACAGAACCTCCTGACTCCATCAGCCTCTTGCAAACCTTGTTTACATGAGTCCAGAGGAAGAACAAGGAGAGAGATCTGCTTGAGGCCCAAAGTGGACGAAATCTGAGAAGGTTTAATCATACCGAACAATGGCATTAGGAGGCATTATTTGGCATGATTGAATCTTGGCATAAGCTCATCTTCAAGGGCAGTAGCTTTCAAAGAGGTCATGTATGAAATACCCACCAGGGCAGTCCCCAGAGAGTTGTCATCAGCTGAAACAGAGCTCCCAAGAAGCAAGATTTTAAATACTCTGGTTAATTACCCCACCCCCAGACCTGTGTTGTCCAGTATAGTACCCCCATGTCAAGTATGGCTGCTGAGCACTTGAAATGTGTCTTGTCCAAATCGAGATGCGCTCTAAGTGCAATATACACACCAGATCCCAATGACTTACCCCAAAAAGGGGCCTAAAGCTCAATGATTTTTATATTGATTACTTGTTGAAATATTTTTGACATACTTGGTGAAATAAAATACATTATTAAAATTAATTTCACCTGTTTCATTTATTTTTAACACAACTACTAGAAAATTTAAGCGAATGTTCTGTGGCTTTCTTTACAGTTGTATTGGACCTGACAGTCCATGAGCTGAAGAAAGAGCCCATTGTGTAGCATTCTCTCCATAACTCTCTGTGTCTGGGCCCCTGACTTTGACTTATGGGGCCGTGGGCAGCAGGTTGGTTCTGTGCAGTGTCTCCAGTGTGTCTGACACTTAGGTGACCTGTTCAGTGCCCAGGGACTGTGTCATTGGAGGCTTAATAGATGCTCAGGTTCTTCTAGGCCTCCCATGACCCAGAAGTGAAGTGTGACCTTCATACATTCTCATCTGTTAGTGACCACCCACCTCAGTCTCAGTGGAGAAAAAGTCATCTTTGCTCAAGGAGGGCCCTTCAGAATCAGCACACTATGAAGCTGAGTAAGCACAAAATGTAGTACTCAGCTGTTAATATCATATCTTGTCCCAGAAGTGTTGTTAAGCATAAAATATCAGAAGGTGGCTAACTCACATCAACACCCGTTCCTTTTAGCCAGATCAGCCCTCGGGGCAATACATTAATTGTGCTTGAGCAGGGGCATACTCCTTTTTCCTAAATACAGAGACTATCCCACCTACAGAGACTATCCCATTCTAATGTCTGATTCATAGTGCTCTAAGCACTGTCTTGGTTGTCCCAGCCATAGAGCCCATCATATCATTTACACACCACAGCCACATGCGAGGAGGACATCCTGGGATATTTTGCTGCTGGAGACATTGAAGTCTCTGTGGCCTTTGTAATGCACAGTTATCCAGATGAGTTTCAGGAAAGATTGTTTTGTAATTGTTCGTCTGTCATTCTTCCAGATTTATTTTTGCTGTAATGAATCACCTTTTTGCACTGTGCTAATAAGCCTTTTTCTTCTTTTTGTCTCAGTCTTTTTGAACTATGACTAACAAAAACTGTACATATTGAAGGTATAGGGCATGATGTATCGATGCATGTATACTTTGTGAAGTGTGCACCACAATCAAGCTAACCCCACATGGCTACCACTTTTTGAATGTGTAGTGAGAACATTTGAAGTCTACTCTCTTAGCAAACTCCAAGTTGACCATGCTACATGTTAGCCTCCAGTACTTATGCCTCTGACTGCTGATACTTGGTACCCTTTGCCCATTTCTTCCTCTTCCCTCTCTCCTACCCCCAGCCCTTGGTAATCACCCTCTGCCCTCTGCTTCTGTGAGTTCAATTTTTTTAGTTTCCACATGTGACATTATGCATTGTTGGAAATTTTTTTTTTTTGAGTTGGAGTCTCTCTCCGTCGCCAGCGGCACACTCATGGCCACCCCAGCATTGACCTGCTGGGCTCAGGTGATCTTTCCGCTCAGCCTTCCAAGTAGCTGGAACTACAGGCATGCGCCACCATGCCTGGCTAATTTTTTTACTTATTGTAGAGAGACAAGGTCTCGCCAAGTTGTCCAGGCTGGTCCTGAACCTGTGAGCTCAGGTAGTCCTCTCACCTCGGTCTCTCAAAGTGCTGGGATTACGGTTTGAGCCACCGCTCAAGTGTTTGTCTTTTTGTACCTGGCATATTTCACTTAACAAAATGTCCTCCAGGTTCATCCATGGTATTGTAAGTAGCAGGATTTTCTTCTCTGTTAAGGCTGAATAATATTCCGTGTGTGTGTGTGTGTGTGTGTGTGTGTGTGTGTGTTTCTTTATCCATCCATCCATTGATGAACACTGGGATTGTTAGGTTGATTCCAAATCTTGGCTATTGTGAATAATGCCACAGTGAATGTGGAGTGCAGGTATGTCTTCCATACTGATTTCTTTTCCTTTGGCTATATACCCAGTTGTGGGATTGCTGGATCACATGGTCATTCTATTTTTAATTTTTTGAGGCACTTCCATAATGTTTTCCATAATGGCTGTACCCCTTCCAGATTTCTTAAAAATTGGGAAATCTTTGAGCAGCTATGGCAGGACAATTTGGCATAGGAGGCACATGCGTGAGCATCAGGTTGCCTGGTCCCGGGCCTCTGTGAGCTGGAGGTGGTCAGATGTGGCAGCTCCCAGCAGCCTGGTGGCAACACTAGTGGCAATTTAGAAGGTTTGCGCTTTCGTGGTGTCCCGTTTTGGAGTCCAGGTCCTGATGGGCGCATGTTGGGATTTTTCCAGTGCAGGCAGTGGAATGTATCAGTGTGGCAGCCCTGACTCCTATACACCTGTGAGTGAAGGTTCTAGAAGCCTTGTGCTGACAGGTATGCATCCATCCCCAGGCCTGCTTGCTGACCAGTGGCATGAAACACAAGAAGCTTCATTTCTGCCAACAAAGCAGTCAGGATTTCAGGGGACAGCACTTGATCACAAAGGTGCACATTCTGAAGCAAGTTTTTGTTAGTGTTGTAATTTACACAAAAAAAGAAAGAAAAGAAACTCTCCTTAGCATCAGGCAAATACATCACTGCTGGTTTAGAAATGTGGTATTTATCATTAATTATATTCCACTATGAACAGGAAGGAAGAGGGCAGTTGTGTTTGGGTAATGATCATACACGTTCCTTGAAAACAGCCTTTTAACAATCATTTTTTTAACTCCACAATGAAAACACAATCGTTGAAATGTCTAAAAATTAACTTTTATACACTTGTGGCTTTTGCTCCCTGAACAAATTTATTTATGGCCTGGGAATTAAACAGAAAACAAAACAGTTGAACCTACCACTAGTTTTCTTTTGTTTCTTTTTTTGCAGATTCATATGACCCTAGCAGAGTGGAGAAAGTATGAAGAAATGGCTGGTGATGCAAGGGGCCATCTCCGTGTGCTGAGTGTTCTCTGGCTTAGCCTGTCAGACCCACCTGCCCAGGTAGAAGCTGGAATCTGCTGGTTTTTTAGCTTCAGGTGCATCCTTTCCCACTGCCCCAGGAAATACATCATCCCTACAGAACTGCTCTGTGGCGACATAGTAATAGTCCGTGGAAACCATCTGTTTATACAGCACGAGGATTTAACGCCTCTAAGGAGGGAAGAGTTTCCACAGAAACTCTCCTCCACGATGGATGTGGCCAAGCTGGCATGTAATATGGTGTTACGCTGGTTGTGTGTGAAAATTTAAACACAGAAGATCGAGTGAATGGTTTTGGAAGGACTGTGAATGTCATACATTCCCCTTCGTGTCCTGTGGCCTGTGTCCACACTCATGTGAAGGAGTCTGGGATGCAGGCCATTGTCCGGTGTGGAGCACTTTCAGCGTAGGGGAAGTGTGAACTGATATATCTGATCCATTTCTAATTGATTTGGCCTTCTGCTGCTGGGAGTAACTACTTATAAGTAACTTACCATCAGAGAATAAAAGCAATATCTTTTAAGTTCCTGAAAAAAATTGAAACTTGTACTGTAATATGCTCAGAGTGTTATTTATCTGGCAATGAAATAGTTGGATTGTTTGCAAATATGCCATTGTCTGCTTTGCACTCAGTAGTCTCTATTTTTATTTTCTGTATGGGTATTTAGAAATTCTTTATATGAAAAATAATTGCTGGGTTAAAATAGACCATTTTAACAAAGTAACTATATTTCTTTTTACAAAAATGCTATTTTTCTATGATGTAAACAATTGTTAGGCAGCAGATTTATAAGGAAGTATTATTTTATTTAAGAGTCTATATTCCTTTGTGTGAGAGGAACCCAAAAAGAGTTTGCTGTTGCTTTAAAGCATCTGTCCCTTCCCCGTTCAAAACTCTGCTACTTTTATTTTGTCTTAGAAAATGTCAATATAGACATATCACAGGGTTAATAAGATAAACTTTCACAAAGATTTTTGTACAAATGTAGCTGTAAGGTGACATTTGAAAATAACCCTCTCAAAACCAGCCAACGTCTTTATTACAATTTTTTGCTACCATATCAACTAGAATGACCAAAAAGCATAGTTCCTTTCATCTTTGTGTGTCCGTGGGGATCTGGCCTGGGACCACACTTTCCTCCCCTCCCCCCACTGCCACCCTGCCCCTTTAAAGAAATATGTTTTTTTGGTTTTTTTGGTTTTTTATCTAGAATGATCCTGAATTCGTCTCTGCATATTTTTAAAAAGTGGTTGGGGACATTATATATATATGCCATTACAAAAGTATTATGAGGCCTACGTATTCTACTGTGTTTAATATTGCATTAACCTGCGAAAAGTTATGCATTTTTAATGCATTTTTCCCCTTTCTAAGTAAGGTATTCTTGTTAGATAACATTTCCTAAATGGTTTCTTGTCTCCCTCCCTCCTTCCCTCCCTTCTTCCCTCCCTTACTCTCTCCCTCCCTTACTCTCTCCCTCCCTTCCTCTATTTCCACCTTTATTTTTCCCTTCTCTCTCTATTTATTTTCTTTTTGAGAAACCACCTTATCTATTTTTAGGCATTTCAAATTCCTAAAATGTGAACTGTTGGGTGACCTGTCGTCTGGCCCTAAAACGACTGGCTGGGTGTTCACGGCCTGTTCTTATCTATACCATATGATTCTATTTTATAAGAACTTTGTGTATTTGGACTATAACAAACAAAACAGATCTAAGTGGCCCTGGGAAACCTTTTCAAATACACTTCTCTGCAATCTTGGTTCTCACAGTCACCTCTTTCCAGAATTCAGCTCTTATGAAAGGTTGTAGTCCACTCTAGGTTTTACAGCAGCAGTAAGAGGTGCCAAGTCTCCTCCCAGGAAAATCTGGTGGGGAAGAGGTAGGTCACTTTGCTCTAGTTAGGACTCATTCAAGTCATCTGGTTGTACTAAATGAGGGCCAAGCCACCCGGAGGCCTTTGTGGAGGGGTTTCTTCTCTCTTTAATTGCAAATGGAAGAAGGTATATGTGTGTGTGTGTGTGTGTATATATACACACACATATATACATGCACCTATATGCACACACACACATACATATATATATATTAACTCTGTTCTGACATCCTCTTAAATTTTGTTGATACCATCTAAAGACTTCCTTCAATCAAAAGAATTAAACTTTAGCTTATTCCTCAAGAGAAAGAAGGATTCTCAAGAAGAAAAAAATTGTTGTACCCTGTGTATATCTCAAAGAAACCAAAATATAATGCTCTCCTGTTTTGTTTTACTCTAAACTGTTGTATCATATCTTTCTGAAATCATTCTGAATTTAGTCAAAATGGTCAATATTTATATCCTAACTTTTCTGAATTCAAGCCTACTTGTAAATCCTTTTAGGGGAAAGGTAACTTTAAAAATGTGAGTAACTTGAAAACTCAACTTTAAACTTTCGTATTCTGAGGTAAATAATAGCCTCTAAACAACAGTATCTTTCCCAGAGGTTTTGAATTTAATACTAATCATTCTTTTATTATTTCTATTTCTCATTCATATACAACTCCATTATTATATGTGACTGGAAAAAATTTTTTCTATTTGTCATTGTTTTTCTCATCACATGATTAACTGTTGTTATTTAATAGTTTGGAGCTCAAAAATTAGATTAAAAATTCTAATTTTGACCACTTGGACTAAAAACTGTATGGGGAATTACATATGAAACGTATTGCTATTTCCTGATCAACAAAAGAAAAGGAAATTATGGTAATTTCACTTATATTGCCTTTCTTTAAAGAAAATTTCTAAATGGCTGAAAACCAAATATCTATATTATCATTTTCAACCTCATGTTTCTGCGAACCACAGAAAACTCCTCACTAAAGATGCAACCAGTCCCTGATTGGAATTACATGTTTATAACTACTTGAATTTCTTTTTTAAAAGTCCCTAAAGTGTGGGTCTGCTCTTCCAAGATCCTGGATTCTTTACTAGGATTGTAGGTTGAGGTTTTGAATCATGTGGAAATTCTAAGTAGAACTTTTTCTGTTCCATTTTACTGTTGGTGAATGGGCCGTTGTTAATGGAAGTTCAAGTGTTTAAACTCAAATGACTCTGAAACTAGTCCCTCATCATTTTTTTGCGGCAGCAAGATGGCTTACTCTGACTGCATCTTGGTTTAGGGCTTCTGAAGAAACATGAGGAAACTGATCTGTTTTAACAACTGCTTTCCAGCTCTGAGCCGAAGGGATTGATGAAAGATAGCATTAACCTGCCATTTCATTCTGTGACCCCCCCCCCAAGATTGTTTGTGTGTTTTGGCTGTATTTTTTTGTTGTTGTTGCTATTGTTTGTTTGTTTAACATGATTAAATACACAATTAAGTGTCAGGTTAGCATCTCTTGAAAAGTGACCAGTGCACCAGAATTTGTCTCTCTCTCTCTCTCTCTCTTTCTCTCTCTCTCTCTCTCTCTCTCTGAACTTAGAGAAACCATTCCAGTCTCCTGAGCTCTCATAAGCAGTGACTCTAGTGTCTGGGAGCCTTGTTCTGCAGATCCATCTGTACAGGGTAGATGAGGCTAAGAGATGGGGTGTGGGGTGAGTGTGTTTCTTAAGCTGAAGCTGTTGCAGGCCTGGTGGGGAGAGGTTGTTGCATTTTCTTTTTGTTTTGTTTTTCACTGCAGATTCTGTACATCTGTTTGTGGGAGGAGAGTTGCTATCCAGAACAGGATTTAAGAGACATATTCCAGTGACCTTCAAGAGTCTGCATGGTGGGAGGTCGTTTTCCAGGAGTGTGGGTTAGTCCTCTCTGGGACCCACCAAGCTAAGAAGGGGGAGATGATAAAATAACACTAAAGGAAGAAAGGGCTCCTGCAGGTTTGTTGGAAAGAAAAAGGGAGTGGTTAAGACTATAAATTTAGATTGAGGCCTCTTGAAAACGGGATGGTCTAGCAACCTGCCCATTGAAACAGTCCTTGGGTTGCCAGCAGCATGGGGAGGCGGCCAGAGCTCCTACAGATTCCTGGCTTTGACTGTGGAGAGCCCCTGTCGGGGTTGTATTTACTAATATACCAGGGGTTGGGCAGGGCCTTGTTTTGTGACCTCTGCTCAGTGACTAAAACTTAAACCTAAAGGCAAGCCTGATTGTCCAGCCACTCACCCCAATCCCCACTCCAGAATGAGGAGGAAGCCTTTCCCACAGGAAGCCAGCCCTGTGGGGCTGGTGACCAAGCCAGGGGAGCAGTCTCCTTTCTCTTGCTTCCCTGCGCCCCTGCCCGCTGCAGAGCTGAGATGTGTGACGTTCCCTGTTCCAGAGCAGGAGGGAGACAAAGGCAAGTTCAAGTTGAGAAACATATGGCAAAAAACAGAAATGAAAACCATATGTCCCAGCCAGGGAGAAAAGCAGTAACTCCCAGAGTCTAAAAATCAACGAAGTGCTCTCCACCTGGGCCAGCAGAAATCCAGGCCCTCACACTCAGGCCTGTCAGAAGCTAAGCAAAAACGTTGCAAAAATTTTTAAAAAACCTAAAATTTGGTAAGGACAAGGTCCTGCAAAACCTTGGAAACGCATCTGCTCACCTTTCATATCTGAGCAGGTAGAAGGGTCTAGAAAGACACAGTTGGTAACAGTCAACTGCTGGCAACAGTCAACTGCTGGCTGTGGCCATCACCCCAGATTGAGTGCTCCAGGGAAACTACAGGTGATGAGACATGAGGGTGGGTGAGGGCAATGGGCACAGGGGAGAGAGAAGCAAGGCAAAGTTGCAGATAAAATAACGGCAAAGCACAGGTGAATGTCAAGGGACCCTTGTATCTCTGCACGATGTACAAAGCCTTGCTGTTTCGGGAGGGCTACTGGCCTGCTTGGTAACACACATGTTCCAAATAAAGATTTTGCATGAACGTGTCCGTATCCTTTGTCTCTGGTTCTGGGGGTGAGAGCTGCCCTGTAAGACC